CCCCAAAACCCCAAAACCCCAAAACCCCAAAACCCCTAATTCAAAATTTTAGTTGAAATTTTAATGAACTTAAGAACTTTATGAGTTCTGATCCTGCAATAAGGCAAGTCTCAGGGATCTTAGGTGAGGGTGTCTGTGGTTAAGTAGGTGAGCCTTTATCTGTGCAAACTTATCTCTTCTTTCACTAACTATCATATACTGGGTATCCTTATCCTGTAAAATTTCTTTTTTGAGCTCTCCAACTAGTTCTTTCATTCCTGGATGTTTCTTGGCTTTCTTTCTAAGTTTATGGTTTATCCAGACTGTTGATCCGTTGTCATCTTCTACTTGTTCCCAGCCTGAATACCTAATATACAACATCAGCCAATTGTGCGGAAGAGGAGGTTGATCATCAGGAAAGACTTAAAGCATTAGCTTAATATAGTAAAACTACTATCTAAGTAACATCTAGAGCTTACTTAGGTTGTGTCTGGAGGTACTTCTCTAACTGATTGTCTCCATGACTTTTCATAGCTCCGCTCCCTTCAAGTTGCTGCAGTAATTTGGCATCTGCTTCTTCAGCTGATGCAAGGTACTTATCCATCATTGAGATTTCAATATCGAGGAACTATAACATGGAGTTAGAAGGCATACTAGGGGCCTAAGATAGCTTGCTGAGATACTGAAATAGAGCTTCAGATGTCTTACCATAATTCTTCTGATGAGTTCAGTCTCAATATTTTTAGTCGCTGTCAGAGCCCTGTTTTGGCAAGGGGTTTGACTGGAAATTTTTGCATTTGAGTAGGTTAATACCAACTTCTTGAGCAATCATCTTGATTTTAGAGTTTTAGTAATGAACTTTTGCAGTACCAGAATTTGAGGAAGGTATGAACTATATTTCCTCAGTAAAGAAGAAGACTGATCTGGCGTATACTGGTTTATTGAGAGTTTTCTTTTTCTTAAAAATTTCAACCTGTTGAAAATCTTTCTTCCAAAATACACAGTTTTTAACTTCTCAGTTCGCTCTTTAGCCTCTTTTCTCCTTCAGGCAGTATTCCTAAAGCCCCTTTGGATTAGTATGATCTTGTTAACTACTGAAGTATCGAGCTGGTCATAATCTGCAAAATTTTGATTTTTAAGAATGTCCCTTCTTATTCTGAAAAATCTCCATGCTTTTTGAATTATTCTTGCTGATGCTTTAATTTTGACTTTCTTGAGGTCCTTGCCGTTCCTTTCCTGCAAGTATGCTTTCTCCAACCCTTTCATATACTTAGCAATTTTGGTTTCATAATCAGGAGAATTCTCCTTATCTTCATAAGTAGAGACCTTGGTTTCATCTTTAATTTTGGGGGTATGAGCCTCATTCTTATTCTTCATATTGGAGTCTCTGACTCTAATCTCTTCGACCTTCTTGTCAGATCCCTTAACGACCATAACAAAGTCAATGCCAGTGTTGATCTTCTTCTTTCCTTTCTTTTTCTTAGAGTTCTTACTTGGCTTGCTTACAGGGACTGGGGTTGGAACCCTGATGATGCCATTCTTCCTGTCTTCATAAGTAGATCTAGAGTCTTTTAAGATCTTCGAAATCTTGGTATTCTGAAGCATCATTAATTTGTAGCATTTCTCTGCATCAGTGATTGAAGAAGAAGCCTGTGGCTTCTCTCCACTTTCTTCACCATATGCTTCGATATTCTCCTTGTAGCTGCTCTGCAGCCATTTGAAGATAATCTTCTTGTTTTTGCCAATGGGTCCTTTTCTCATAAGATTATTCAAGTCTGCAGAGAAGAGGTTAATCTGATCAGCAAGTTTTACCCTTGACTTCTGAATGCAGGTAGATAGCAGCAGATGATAGTTGTACTTATGATTAGCATAGTTTTGAATGATCTGGCTTATTGTATCGTTGTTTAGAAACATGAATTTTAGAGGAATATCTCCATCTTCATCCTGTTCTTCTCATAACGGAAACGTATCTCAATCCTATAGTTTATGTATAAACCTTACAGTATTTGCCTGACTCATGACGTAATTCAAGTGGAAGCAGGAGGGCACTTTTGTCTTGACTAGGGACTTGTCAAATTTGCTCCTGCTAGGCTCAATTACTTTCTCTTCTTCTTTTTCCATAAGCAATAATAGCATTTTCTTAGCATATTTCTTCCAAAAATCTGGGATTACTGAAAGGTCGTAGATTCTAAGCTCATCAAGGTAATCATTCTCCAAATTTTGGCGATCTTTTTCTCGATCTTTAAGATCAGCAATGGTTCTATCAACAAGCTCATCAGCTGGGTCAAACATTTTGATCTTAAAATTCTTTGAAGATGCTTTGGTCTTGATAAAAGCTTTGTAGAGTGCAACGTCGTCTTCCTTTCTAGCAAACATCATCCTGAACAGCTCTGAGATGCAGTGTTGAAGTCTTGAAGGGGACACTTCTTCTAGGAACTCTTTGTTACTGGCACTAACTAAGTTTTCATCCATTTAAAAATTTTAAATTATCAATTAATTTAGGAATTATAGGGGTTTTGGGGTTTTGGGGTTTTGGGGTTTTGGGG